AACAGAACAGTCTCCTTCAGGATGGCACACGGGGTGCCTGCCAATGAAGACGGGAGGAGAAGCGACCACAGAGCCATGGGAATGCTGTAGAGACAAACCAGAGCATCTCCTGGGATGGCGTGGATGCCAGAGCCCCCTGGGAAGGCGAGCCCAGGCATTGTGACCTCCCCTCGTTTATTCGGAGTTTGTAGAGTGGCATTAAGAAGAAAAAAGACAGCTGGTACCCTTCAGGTCGACCAATGAAAACAAAAGGGTCCAGGGCGGTGGCTTATTCAGGACCTCAAACGTTGCTCATCGCTCAAGAGGAACAAGTTAAGCCAAGAAACCTCGAATCACTGAGCCCATTTCACACCCCTGCAGATTTCTTTCTAACTGCACCAGCCTGTGAACGAACGAAGCTGCTCGGTCCACTTTGCAAGAGTGTAAATTGACGACAAGGATCGTGGCCCGACTGGGGAAGGCAACCAACAGAGCAAACAAAGCAAAACAACAAACACTGTCCTCTCTCCATCTCTGCAATGGCGGAGACTCCTCTTCCTGCTCAAAGTTTCCAACTTGCTAACTTCAAGCTGAACGAAGGCAACTTTTCCATCCAGGTCTGGGGACCCCTTTTATCCACCTGCTAACGGCGTCACATCTCAGCTCTTTGATGGCGGCGTGCCCAGGAGCCCTGAGCCACCCACCTCTTCGGGAAACAACACCTGTGTACGAGCCACGGTGCGTTTCCCGGTAAAGGCCGAGTTTCCGAGATCCTGGTTTACGGTCACCTCTGCATCTGCTGGTCCTCGTTGCTAATGTTAAAATCGAGGTGATTTTAACCTACTAGAAAAAATTTCCAAAAAATCCCAACGCCAGAGAGTTGACGCCCTGAAACGTAAACCACGAGGCGGATCCCAGGAAGGTCGGGGTAAAGACACTCACTCTTCTGAAGCCAGGCTTGGGTTAGAGGAGGGCGTGGCTCCCGCCTGACCAACGGCCGAGTGGTTCCTGTCCCTCTGCTGACTGGCCGCACAGCACCTGAGGGCACACAGCCGGAGCGGAGGATTGAGAGAGAAGCCTGCTGTCCCCTGGCAAAGGGGGAGCAGACAGAAAAGGAGCTCCCCGAAGGCCCTAAAGAGACACAGAGCCAACTTCCATCCCAATCGGGCACAGCCATCCTAGGTCCCCTGGGAGCCTGGGACTGGACACTGCCAGCCCAGGCCAAGGGCTGAGCTCTAAGTTCGCCACCAGTCACGGCTTCTTACGTGTTCATCTAACCGGCTTCACGTGATCAGGGCGGCTGTAGGGAACAGGATTTGTAAGGAATTACTGAAATTCATTCTCCTGCAAGGCCTGACTTGCCCAACAAACAGATCCTTTACCGGCTGGCTCTTCAGAACAAACAGAACTGAGAGGAACAATTTCTAGCAGGTGGGAAGGGGACTCGTCATATGGCCAGAAGCCTCCCCTCCTCCCTGAGGGGCGACGGAGACCCAGGTAGAGAGGGCAAGAGGCCCTTTTGTGAGAGGCCAGGTCCCAGCCTCTGCCTTCACCTCTGTGCTGCTTGCACTCACCGCTGCTTGGGGGGCTTGGACACCTCGGCCAGCCTGCGGCAGGCTTCCTCTAGCTGCGCCAGCGTGTTGGGTGGGGTCAGGGGAGGCATCGCGGGGTCCTGGGTGAATGGGTGGGCTCGGGGGGCAGCGCGGGGGTGCCCGTTACTGCCCCCCAGCAGGTGGTGCCGGCCGGCTCGCTCGGCGGGGGACGCGCGGGCGCAGTCTAAGGGGTAGGCCCTTTTTGTGCTCTGGGCACTGAACAAGGAAGGAGAGAGAAAGCAGAAGGAAAGAAACTGGGTTAGAGAAACTGGAAAATATGACTTCAATAGAAACTTCTCTGTTCTGCCTTCAAAGAGAGGAGAGAAGAAAAAAAAACCCCTACCATAACACGCACAGGGGGTGTTGCCAAAACATGGCATTTTTGTGGTCTGCTCAGTCCAACGTTTAATATTAAGGCGGCAGGAGCAAACAGTCATATTTGTTTTCGGCCCACTGCAAAATTAGCCATCCCCACGATACCTCTGTGGTGACTGCCCGTGACCCCCGCCGCGGCCGCGGTGTTTACCTATGGGGCTTGGGCTTGCTCTGCCGCTCACTCTCCAGCATCCACTGCCAGACATCCTGCGACCTGTCTCCTTCCTCCCCAGGCAGCTGCAGGGCCCCGGGTCCGCCTGGGGCGCCTCCTTCCCTGGCTGGCAGGGCCGGGCCCGGCTCCACGCTTTTCCCGGTCCGTCTGGGCGGGGTACCACCTCTGCTGCTGCGGGGAACCAAGAACCACACCCATCCCAGGGGCCCCGTCACACCTCTGGGACCCCTTGAACCGGCGGGTTCAGCGGGTTGGGGGGGGGCAGGGGGACACCAAAGACCCCGCCCCCCGCGCCTCCCTCCCGGAAGCCGAGTGCCCGTGACCTCCGACCCCCACCGGGAAGCTCCAGAATCGCCAGTCTGCCCTCCACACTTACCCGAACTGCTCGGCCGGCACGGGCTCCAGAGCCCTGGGGTGGCTCTTGCACTTCGAGTAGCAGTAATACTCGGAGCCCCCCGGGCAGAAGCAGCGCACCCTCTGTGCGGCCTCCGCCTCAATCTCCTCCTTGGTCTTGGGGAGGGCGTGGTGGTGGATGTAGTGGTGGTGGACGTGCTTCGTCGTCTGCTTGGTCACGAAGCCCTTGGCTCCCAGGAGGGGGCAACCGGCCTGCGAGGCGGCCACGGGGGGCAACTTGCCCCCGGGCGGGAGGAGGGGGTGGTGCTGCTGGTGGTGGTGGTGGTGGTCGGGGGAACGGGAGCGGGGGCTGTAGCGG